ATTACAGGCACTTATATAGCACCATCAATCTATGAATTGATTTACATATATATTGTGCATTCACATCAGTCCCTAACCCTCAAGGAGTGTACAATCTAAGGGCCCTAACTCACATTCATACATACACATACTAGGGACAATTTAAACAGGATCTAATTAACCTACCAGCATGTCTTTGCAGTGTGGAAGGAAAACAGAGTACCTGGAGGAAAGCCCACGCAGGCACAGCGAGAACATGCAGACTCCAGGCAGGTAGTCCATGGTTAGGATTTAAACTAATGACCTTAGTGCTGCTAGGTGGAAGTGCTAACCACTTAGCCACTGTACTGCACATAGGCCTTATACTATATACTGTAGGTACTATACTATACTCCTTAACCCTTTGAGGACCAAGGGACTTATTTGTCCCATGTTTTTAATTGCCTGTATCATCTGATTAAGAACTTTAAAATACTTCTTTTTTTTTTTTGGTTTGAGTCAAAATATTAGTTCTTATCAACAAATGGATCTAGCTTTTTGCCATTTATTTCATGAAATGGCTTAGTTATAGCAACTGAAGTGTACGAACTTTAAAAACAAAAAATTTATTCTTTTGGCATTCCGTAATCTTATGGTCCTCAAAGGGTTAAGGTACTAGACTTATACTCATAAAGGTACTTTATCTCCTAGGTACTTATACTCCTAAAGGTACTATGATTTACTCCTAAAGGCACTAGACTTTTAGGTACTTATATACTATACTTGTACTTAAAGCAGAGTTCTAGTCTCCTGTAAAAAAATAGACGTCAGCAGCTACAAAAACTGTAACTGATGACTTTTAAAAACCAGCCACTCACCTATCCCTCAATCCAGTAGGGTTCACCAGCTGTGCTCCGCTTTAAGGTAACCTCTAGTACGGATTTGTGCTTCCTCATTTGAGTACTGACACCAAAATGTGTAAGGATTCTCGTCCCACAACCCAATGTAACATTGAAGCTAGATTCCCATTGGGTCCTGTCAAGTGAACAGAGGTCACCCAGTGTTGGGAAGACCTGCTTTTTTGGAGCTGTCACTTTCTGTTTGGAGAGCTCCATTGCCATATGGCATTCAATGGTGAAGTTTGGATCCCCATTGAGTGAAATGGGCTGTATCAATAAGCAAAGAATACTCTGAATTTTAGGAAAGACAGGGAGCCAATAACGATATCTGCCCTGTGTTATAAATGTGCCCCGTAGAGAACATGCAAACTTCAAGCTAATATCACCCAAGCGGTATACACCAAGGAAGGCTCAGTCGTAGGGGTGATTGCAGTTGCAGCCCTAATTGTCCATCCTAATAATTTACCTTCAAATGTTATTTATTGGTCCTCGAAAATATTAAAGAATGTGTTGTTGAAATAAAATATGAACAAAGGGCACAAACGTCTGCCTATTTATTTTGTTAGTTCAAACAAATGACAAGCTGGAAGTAAACAAGAATTCTGACTTAAAGATTTCTGGCGTTAAAAAAGTACGTCCGCCATGGGAGAATGCTGGGACAGATGAGATCCCTTGTTACATATACTGGAGATTGATGTATGTGATTGCAATACTAGTGACTGCATATTCTTTCGTTTGGACACATCCTGCATATCCCCGCAGATGACAAAATGCCAGTCGGGGCCGCCATTCTCTCTCAAATTATCCATTCTTCTTTTTACATCTCGATTAGAAGACAGGATGCCATTGTAGTTAGATATGATTCACCGAAACGCCTGCTCTGAATACTGATCTTAGCATCTCCCATAATTAAGTTCACCAGGTAAGGATAGAGAAAAGAAGAGTAATTTCTCCCCTGCATGTTTAAACTTGATGCTCCCTTCACTTACCTCTAGTGTAATGTTTTAATTTATAGGAACATTGGAAAGTTGTCCACACATGTGCAGGTTGTGCTGCCAGACCTGACTTAAAGTGTATGTCCAACCATTACCCAATCTACCCCCTATAGAGCATAATATATATACATATATATATATATATATATGCACATATATATATTTTGCATGTATTTTGAGAGAGAGAGAATATATACTGTGTATATCTATCTATCTTTCTCTCTGTCTCTCGCTCTCTCTATCCCTTTCTTTCTATCTATTTATCTGTCTATCAGTCTATCTATCTATCTATCTATCTATCTATCTACCGTATGTTTCTTACTTTCTCTCTGTCAGGGTCCTGTCCATGGCAAAAGTTCTGGAATATCTGGCATTTCTGCCAGTACTCTGCATGGCCGCAGAAGCACACATCAGCCTCAGTTTGGTGCCAGACGGCCTTTATAAGGAGGCTCATCACTTTCTCAAGTTGCTGGATGATCTCTAGCTCCCCGTGCCCTGTTCCTGTTTCCTGTGATTTTGACCTGTGATTTCCTGTTACTAACTCGGCTTGCCCTTGGACATGTCTGCTCTGCTTTACCCTTGATCTGACGTCGGCTTGGTTTACGGATGCTCTCTCTCTCTCGCTCCTCTGTGTATGACCTCGGCTATCCCATCTAACTACGTCTGCTGTGATTCCCACCTGGTACCTGACCTTGGTTTGAACTGACTACCCAGTAAATATCTAAATCCCGGAAGGGCTTGCATATTACACACAGGCACCTCCTGTCTGCAGACCTATCTCTGTGCACCAGCTGTGCTTCTGAGTGGACCACCAACCAGCACTCCTACAGGCGACCTGTGCAACTTTGGGCCTGACTCCCGCTGTCCCACTCTCAGGGGAGTCCAGAACTTAGCCACAAGGGAAGCCCTCTCTCCATTGGCCTCCATCACCAGGTACATGATACTCTCTCACTCTCTCTCCCTATCTCACTATTCCTTTCTAGCTTTCTTTCTTTCTTTTTCCCTTTTTCTCTCTCTCAAGCCCTTTTTCTCTCTCTCGAGCCCTTCTTCTTTCTTTTTCTTTCCTTCTCTCTTTTTCTGTTACTCTTTCCCTTTTTCTTTTTCTCTCTCATTCTTTCTCCCTCTATCCCATTATCTATCTATCTATCTATCTATCTATCTATCTATCTATCTATCTATCTATCTATCTATCTATCTATCTCTTACACTCACTCTTTTTAATACCTTTATTTAAAACAGTCCTTCCGATTTCTGCTAACCCATTTGTCTACCTAATTTCTAACAAACTTTTTTTTAGAAAATTGTTTAGTAGAAAAAAAAAAAGAAGTGAGGATTATAAATCACTCCTTCGCTTCCTTTTGTTTATTTTCTCATGTAGATGTGCTAGCTTTCTATTTTCTGTTTTAATTAATTACAAATTGTACAGCAAATGGTTCCCCTTCAGTTTTTGGTGACCAATTAAATGACTTCAGCACATGTTCAGCCATTTGTCACAATGTCAACAAGTGGTTTCCTGAAGATTTGATCCATACTTTCCGCCCATTATTGAATTGTGATTTATTACTTTTTTCACAGGCGACTGCATGTATTCTCTTTGCCCCGGCTGAAGGTTTCAGCTATATCTAGGTTTATCCCAAGAATCCCAAACTGCTGAAAAACAAGCGATCAATTGTTCTGTACTGGCATCTGTAGGTCACGGGGTCAGAATTTTAACTGATTATAGATTTCATTTTATAAACTTTTGGATACATTTTGTTTTTGCAGCCATTTCGATAAACATTAAAAGGGGAACTGCCAGTTTTGGAAAATACTGAAATTGGTTATTAAATTATTTTAGAACTTAGTGATAAAAAATAAATAGTGATAGGGGAAAACTTTGGATCTCGATTTTTTTTACCAAGGGGAAGGGTTTCTTTGAACATGGAGAGGCTTTGCCCATGTTTTGCAGTAATGATATGGCATCGATGAGTTTCCTTTAAAAGACATCACAATATAAATAATATTGTCTAAATGCATAGGATGTCACACTTCCATCCCTTTTATTACATAATGTACAAAAGCCAATGCCCATGGGACTTTAACGAGGAATGCCATACAGACAAATAATTTAAATTAAAAAAAAAGGAATGGCTTTGTGTACCCATGGGTTACGCAGCGGTGCATTCATTTGGCATTGTTGGATTCCTTGTAGGGCTCATGGAGGAGCAGCTGGACATGAGCTGTTGAGCTATGCTGTTCTGGTGAGGCCAAATGGACTGCAGAATTTCTCATGCTTGTTCCAGGCCTCCCACAAAATAAAGAGCAGTGAAACTGTCAGAAATAAGATACATGTTTTTGCTACAGTTTTGATTGCTTTAGATCTGTGAGATTTGATTTAGCCATTTTTTCCTCTTCGGTACTGCGCTAATTTAACTGGTTATTGTGCGGTCATGCAATGCTGTACTCAAATTAAATTTATATAATTTTTTTCAAACCTGTTCAGTCTTCTTTTGGTGGTATTTGATCACCGCTGAGTTTTTGTTTTTTTATTATATTGAGAAAAAAGTCCGTATATTTCTTACTTTGTGCTGTAACTACTTGACCTCCGGAAGAGTTTACCCCCTTCATGACCAGGTAATTTTTTTACTTTTTGGCCCTGTGTTACTTTAACCACTTGCCTACCAGGCACTTATACCCCCTTATTTACCAGGCCAATTTTCCGCTTTCAGCGCTGCCGCACTTTGATTGACAATTGCGCGGTCATGCAACATTGTACCCATATGACATTTTGATCATTTTTTTTTTCACAAATAGAGCTTTCTTTTGGTGGTATTTAATCGCCACTGGGTGCTTTACTTTTTGCGCTAAAAATAAAAAAAAGTGTAAAAAATTTGAAAAAAAAAAAGTTTCTTTGTTTCTATTATAAAATTTTTCAAACAGGTATTTTTTCTCCTTCACTGATGTGCATTGATGAGGCAGCACTGATGGGCACTGATAGGCGGCACTGATGGGCACTGATAGGCAGCACTAAATGGCACGGATAGGCAGCACTAATGAGGTGTCTTGGATAGGCGGCACTAATATGCAGCACTGATAGGCGGCACTGATAGGTGACACTGATGATGGGTACTGATAGACGGCACTGACTGGCATCACTGCTGGGCACTGACTGGCGGCACTGACTGGCAACCCCTGGGCACTGACTGGTGGCACTGACTGGCAGCACTGCTGGGCTGCACTGGTGGGTGGCACTGGTGGGCAGCACTGGTGGGTGGGCACAGGTGGGTGGCACTGGTGGGCACAGGTGGGTGGACACAGGTGGTTGGCACTGCTGGGACACACAGGTGGGTGGCACTGCTGGGCCCAAGTAGGTGGCACTTCTGGGCACAGGTGTGTGACACTGCAGAGTGGCACAGGTGGGTGCACTGCTGGGCACAGGTGGGTGCACTGCTGGGCACAGGTGGGTGATCTGCTGGGCACAGGTGGGCGGAGCTAGTGGGCGCACTGCTGGGCGGAACTTGCGGGTGGCACTGCTGGGCACCGATCATCAGGGCACTGATCATCAGTGCCCTGATGATCGGTGCCGATCCCCGCTCTGACAACTGCCGGTTCTCGGCAGTACTTTCCTCACGATCTGACAGCGCGAGGAAAGTGCAGCCGAGAAACGGCACTTGCATTTCCCTCTGATCAGCGTGTCATTGGACACCGCTGATCACGTGGTAAAAGGCCGCTGTGATTGACCTTTTACCACATCACGTGATCAGCTGTGTCCGTAGGACACAGCGATCACGGAGATCGCCGGGTGCGCGCCCCCTGGGGCGCGCAGGAGAGAGCGCGTTCTGGGAGGACGTCATATGACGTCCACTCAGAAACTGGCCGGCCGCAGTGCAGCCGTCATTCGGCTATCTGCGGTCAGCAACTAGTTAACTGACAACTGCACAGTCATGCAATAGAGCTTTCTTTTGGTGGTATTTGATGACCACTGGGATTTTTATTTTTTGTGCTATAAACCAAAAAAGAAACATGAATAGAATGCATAAAAGTAAAAAACCTTGAGCCTTTACAACCACTTTAAGGTTATAGGAAGGTTAGTATTAGAATAACAGAGAGGCTCAATGTTAGGACTACATGAATAGTTAGTGTTAGGGTCATAGAGAGAGCCCATGTTAGAATTGTAGGAGGGTTAATGTTAGGATTACATGGATAGTTAGTGTTAGCGTCATAGGGAGACCCCATGTTAGAACTTCAGGAGGGGTTAAAGCAGGGGTGTCCAAACTTTTTTCAAAGAGGGCCAGATTGGATGAAGTGAACATGGTGGAGGGCCGAACATTTTTCCGAACATTCTTTGAACCATTACAATTAAATGCAAATAAATTATTTTATGCCAAGTTAATTGCAAACAACATACTTTTCATTTCATAACATTAAGATCAACTGACAGCTGAGTTTTCACAATGTATTGAAAATAAATTTAAAAAAAACTTACCTGCACTAATGTGAAGGGTGAAAAAGGTAGCTGGAGCTGAAGTCTCTGCTCGGCAGCCGGGAGGGGAAGAGAAACACACTTCACACTGGAAGCCCGGCCCTGACGTCACCGCCCTCTGTCACTCCCAGCGCGGCGCAGTCACGCATGCGCACTGCTCTCAAGCAGAAGACTGTCTGCCACAGAAGGGAGGGCCGTGTGACAGCCGCATTTACACAGACCAGGGAGAACGCGCCGCAGTCAGTCATGCGCACTGCCCTCTGCTCTCAAGCAGAAGACTGTCTGCCATAGAAGGGAGGGCCGTGGGAGGGCCACATTACACAGAGCAGGGAGGGCTGTTGGAGGGCCGTATTAAACCGACCCCCGGGCCGTAAATGGCCTGTGGGCCGGACTTTGGACATGCCTGGGTTAAAGTTAGGATTACAGGGACAGTTAGTGTTGAGGTCATAGGGAGGTTTTTGTTAGAATTTTACAGGGACAGTTAGTGTTAGGGTTACAGGGAGAGCCCATGTTAGAATTGTAAGAGGGTTAATGTTAGGATTACAGGGTGGGTTAGTGTTAGGGTTACAGGGAGAGCCCATGTTAGAATTGTAAGAGGGTTAATGTTAGGATTACAGGGTGGGTTAGTGTTAGGGTTACAGGGGAATCAGTATAAGAAATACAGGAGGGTTAGTGTTGCTGTTACAGAGAAGCGAGTGTTAAGGTTACTTGGAGGATTACTGTCAGGGTTACAGGAAGAGTCAGTGTTAGGGTTATATGGAAGGTTAGTGTTAAGACTACAGGAAGAGATAGTGTCAGAGAGCTTAACGCAGGATCAGGATTTCTGCTCTGAAAACTGTCAGTTTCACATTCCTGGCACTGAAAGCTAATGTATTGCAGCACATAGATTTTGCTTCACTGCATCTTTCATCTCACTGTAGCTGTAATGTATTTTTTTCTCATCAGTTATTCATTAAGGATGCTAATTTAAACATCTAATATACAGGTGCTGGCAGAGAAAAAGTCTTTAATTCTGTATAGGATATATGAATCATGAGACATAACACAATGCGAGAACTAATTTAAAAAGTCTTATCAAGAACTAGGCTATCAAATAAGTAGACTGTACAAAAAATAAATACAATATAGACTCGCTGGTGGTATACAACAAATGTAATTAAATTTGCATTTTAGCTACATTTAAAAAAATAATTAGAAAAATGTCCATTTTCAGAGAGAGTTTAAGACACCTGACAATGTATTGATTTGGCCATGACCACTAAGTTGTCAATCTAAGTCCACACATGTGCAGCGTAAGTCAATTTTGTGTTGGAACATGTTTAATGGGAGCTGTATTTTCAGGAAGCTGAATTGTTTAATTTGTCTTAATAGGCTGCCTGGCAGTTTTTGATTGTTGCCATCATTGCACTAGTTGGATTTCTTTGGCATTTGTGCTTGTTGGGGTTAGCGGATTTTCCAATGCAATGGCGGGAGCTGCTAACCATAACTCAGTGGCCAACAACAGATTAATGTGTCATTTAGCACTCAGTAAACACACCTGCTCATGCCTGGCATAATCACCAAGTTAATTTAGGATTCAGCAGTGACTCGTAAAGTCATTATTGTCTTGAGAGCCTTTCTCTGCTTTTTTCCTGGACCTATATTCTTTTGTCCATTTACTAATAGTTTTCTTCTTGTTTTCTACAGTACTCTCCTGCACTACACCTGACCTCTGGTCTTTGATATTCACCTTCCCAGGACCATTGCTGACTCTTCTAAGCCAGTGGTCCTCAAACTGTGGACCGTGAGCCAACCACAGCCATTTGCTTGCCCTTGGTGCTGGATAAATTCCTCCCAATAAAAACCAAGGATGGGGATATTTTAACTACAGACATCAACAATGGGGCAATGTTCTTTCTACTGATACCAACAATGCGGTGCTATTTCTCTCACTGACACCAAGGATGGGGCACTGTTTTTTCCACTAACACCAATAATGGGGCACTATTCTTCCCACTGATACCAACAATGGGGAACTATTCCTCCCACTGACACCAAGGCTGAGGAACTATTCCTTCTACTGACACCAAGGATGGGGAACTATTCCTTCTACTGACATCAAGGATGGAGAACTATTCCTCATGCTCACACAAACAATGAGGAACTATTCCTCCCACTGACAACAAGGATAGGGTACTGTGCCTTTCGCTAACATCAGAGATGGGGTATTATTCCTCTCAGTGACCACAGAAGCTATGTAATTTTTTTTCACTCTCACTGACAACCAACCCTGAGGCTTTTTCTACTCGCACCCACTACAGTTCTCTTAGGCTGGCCATAGATGAATTTGTTTTTATTTTTCATGCAACCAGCAGGTTGAATGAGGAAAACTGACCTGATTTCCCCATCCACACATTTGGGGGGGGGGGGGGGGAATCCTCCCTGCTGTGTCCTTGTATTCTCAGAGAGGGGTTACCTCCCTGCCACCAGAATAACCAGATCAGTGATGCAGTCTATAGCCTGTAGCTTTGATCGAGTGTATATTTTCCAATGAGGCTTTTGAACAATCGACTTCTGTTCAACCACAGTGTTCATATATCTCAAACTTTGGCAAGCTCCTGCTGAACCAGCAAATTTATATCTATGTATGGGCAGCTTTAAAGCTTCAGGGACAATTAAATGTCTCTTTGTTTACAAAATGTTGGGACTCCTGCTTTAGGCATGCAAACCTTAGAACCCATAGCAACATCCCTCTTATAGGACCACCCAGAGCATTTTTCTTGTTTAACTGGACCTAACCTGTATTAGGAGATTGGAACAATGCATTATTTAACTATTATGAGATATTTAAGTTATTGCTTAAGATAAGGAAAATGTGTGGCCGATGATGTTAGAAGGAAAAACACTTTGCCTGTGCTGTCTATAGGCATAGGCCCACCATACCTAATGGTTAATCTGGCCCTGATCTGATCAATTCCATTGGTTGTCAGAATGACATCTACTCTGTCATCCTGTAAGGATGCTGCCGTCTGGTAAGAAGCAGATGCATAGTGTTGTTGAAAGACTTGAGCTAGGTAAAGTTGGCTTCCTATTTTATTACAGGTGCCCTCAATCCTGGATGGTATAAGCAGTTCACATACATTTCTGCCTAAAGCTGCTCTTTAATAAATTCTCTACATTTTAATTTCCTTCAAATTGGAATGTATGGCTCTGAGCAAATTATATGAGAAGACGCCACAGCAAAGCTGACATCTGAAAAGGCACAGTGAGTGCTCTGCAGCTTTAAGAGTGAGCTGTGATGGAGAGAAGGGGAATAATCATTAAATCTGTTGTAGCAGTTGGGTTCTTATTTGTCATAAACAGAAAATTTGAGAAGCCGCAGAAAGTCGAGAGGCCTCCAGCTGTTAAAATTAACCACGCTCACTGATATGAACACACGTACTTAAGCCAAATGGCACCAGCTGTGTGGCCTGGCCAAGCTCTGCTCAAGGCAGCCACTGCTTCTATTGTTCATCTCTTTAGCTCTAACCATATAAAAAAACCAGGAGTACCCATAACAGCGTAACGCAGGGGCATCACATAATAATTATTATGATAATAATAACTATATCGAAAACAGTCATTCATGAAAGTAAACAATGTAAAAAATGCAATCACTCATATCAACCACTCAGCTTTAACCTTTTTTCTGATCTGAGTAGTAAGCAAAAATTTGATTGGCTACTAAGGATGAGCACCCCATCTTTTTTTTTTTTTTTTTTGCATAAGGATGACCACAACTGACCTTTGGTATCTTCTAGAGTTGCCTTTATCAACCAGGGCGTCGTAACACTGTGGGGTGCTGTTTGGATCCTTGGGGGATGCCTTGGCAAAATGCCTAAAATTGCCCTGAATTGTCCAAAAATTGTCAACAAGCCAGCAGGTGGATTAAGCTTGCCTTTTATTTGCTACACAATGCCACAGGTTTTTTTGCTTCATGCTATCCTTGGTCAGCATATAGGTCAGCTGTCTGTATCTCAACAAGCAA